CGGCGGAGCAGCCAATCTGTTTACTGAACTGGCTGACCCCTTCCGGGAACTCGGCCCAAGCTTCCCAGAACTCGGGTATTAATGACCCGGAGCCACATGACGGAGCATGACACAGCACTTTGGGCGCAGGCAGGGCCCAGAGGGGCGCGTGGGGGGCCGCAGCTCAGCCCCCAGCCCGGCCAGTGGGTGAGTCAGCTGGCCTCCCGCCCGCTTCCTATCCAGGCCACTCTGTCTCCTCCCCGCCCTGGGACATCCTTGCCTTGCCAGGGCCGCCCTCAGCCCCCTGGACCTTTGCCCCAGTGACCTAAGAAAGGTCTTGGGTAGCAGGACTGTCCGGAGATGGCGGATGGGGTCAGTGAGGCCCACAGGAGCCGACAGTGAGCGCTTGCTAAGCGCTGTCCCTGTGAGCACTGGAGGCACAGCTCCTCCTGGTCTGCAAGTCACGAGGCAGTGGGCATGTTTCTAGCTTATTTGATTTATGGTAGACAGCATGCGCATGGGCGGGCAGGAGAAAAGAGAGAGAGAGAAGAGACGTGCCCTCGTTGGGGTCTCTGCAAGTGCTCCTGCTCCTAGGGATCTTGGGCATCTATGCTTGTGCCAGGGCCATGTTTCAAGCCAACCCAGGAATCTGAACCCAAGGTTGGCCGCGTGGTTTCCAGCACCGCGATTCAGTGTGTTGTCATCTGGCCATCAGGATGGGCCAGAGGAGTGTATATTTCAAGTAGGGGAAACTGAGGCTCAGGGAGGGAGGGATTGAGTTCTCCCACGGGCATGCAGGGAAGTGGGGGATTCAGCTTGGACTCAGCTCTATTTGACTTGCGATGACCTTGCATCACCTGAACAGCCTGACAAGGAGGCAGCAGGTAGTCTGTTTCACAGCTGGGGAAACTGAGGCACAGGGGCCGAGTCACTGCCTAAGGTGCTCATGTGCCATTTGGGGGGAAAGCACGCCTTGGCTGGATACTAGGCAGAGCTGGGTTCAAATCCCACCATTGTTCATTGCAGTGTGTGTTCCTCTGTGTTTCTGTGTGTGTACCGGTGTGCATGGGGCGCATGGAATCTATGGAAGGTCTTTGCATCCCCCTGGCCGGCCGTGTGCAGGCGAGAGGATATGGAGGTGGACCAGTGATGGCCCCAGAGGAGGCTCAGCGTCTGCGATACCCATCGCATTTGTTCACTGCTGGGCATGGGGCATGTGGCCGCACCGCTGTGCCTCAGGTTTCTCACCTCTGTAGGGTGCTGGGGTGACCTCGTGGAGCAGCCGAGGGCGGTGAGCATGCGGTGTTTGAACCGCACGGTGCACACGGAAGGCTCTGGGTGAGGTTCCCTTCAGTGTCTGCAGCTTCTCCAGGCCCAGGGCCCTGCAGCAGGGGTGGGCCTCTGGTCTCCTCCGCCTCCTTCACCCTCCGCTGCCCCAGGGCAAGGTGAGGGTGGTGGTTTTTATGGGGCTGGGAACCAGACAGGCTCTGGGGCTAGGGGAGTGGGGCCTCCTGGTTCCCATCCCCTGAACTTTGGGCTGGGGGCCAGGAGTGGGGCAGCACTTCGGAGTTCGTCCCTTCACCCCACGACCATGGCTGGAGCTCCTGGTGTTGTCACACCCCAGGGGACACGGCAGCACACCAAGTGCCTGCCCGCCCTGGTGGAGGGGCATGTCCAGTGAACCCAGGGGCAGACGTCGTGGAAGTGAGCTGGATTTGGGAGCTGGGTGGGCCCCAGGGACTTCTCTGTGGGATGCCTGGAGCAGACACCTCGAGGAGGAGGAGGCCCAGACCCCAGGGGAGAGGTTTCCAGCAGGGGTGAGGTGGGAAGGGGCTTGAGATGGGTCAGAAGATGCAAGGAAGTAGGGAAGCTGGAGGAGAGCCAGGGAGAGAAGGTGATACGGATGGTGCTGGAGGTCAACGGGGCTCAGACCTCACAGAGTGGCCACTGGTGGCATTTGAGCAGAGGGACCGATGTGACCGGGGGGCACGAGATTCCACCTGCAGCATTCAGGATCTCTCCCCCTCTGACAGATGGGCTCTGACTCAGGCCAAATTCGCACAGGAGGTCAAAGGCAGGGTGGGGATGAGAACTGAGTGGTTGGACTCCCCGTGGAGAACAAGAAGAGGGAAGTAAGGACATGGGCCGAGGAGGAGAGGCCCACAGAGGGGGCCCCGGGGTCACCTTGCGACTCAAAGAGCTGAGAGCCGTGGGGCAATCTGGATGGCTTCCTGGCAGAGGTGTCCTGGAAGCTGAGGTTAGGACAGAGGGGCTGGAAGAGTGTTCCTGGAAGAGGTAACTGCACTCAAGGAGGCCCTGAGGTCCCAGCGAGATAGGGTGTGTTTGGGAAATTCATTCTCGCTCGGGGATCAGGAGACGGATGAAGTGACAGGGCCATCTTGGGAGGCCTCGGACCCAAGGAAGGGGCTGGCATCTCACCCCACTGTGTGCTGGGCCCAGGCTGGGACACCCAGAGGCCCTGGCAGGGCCCACAGTCTGGACAGGGGTCAGGGCCACAGGGGAAAGGAAGGAGAAGGGTCGGAGCCCACTCTGGTTCAAATCGCGCCTGTGACAACATCACCATGTCATGTCAGCTCTGTGAGCCTCTGTTCCTCTTGGCAAATGCCACCTGGAGAGGGACTGTGAGGGCTCAGTGAGCTCATTCATTTGTCCATTCATTCATTCACTCATATATATATATATATTTTTTTTTTTTGCTGTAAGGTGCATGGGCTCACTTGAAAGACAGAGGGAGACAGAACGCGAGAAATCACCTCCCCGCCCCAAGGGGGGCGATGGCCACATCACAATCCCTTCTCCTCTATTCTCCTCTTGGGATTTGGGGGCGTGCACGCATATGTACCTGGCATGAGTTTTAAACTGCCAGGTCTGGGACTCGAACCATGATGGATTACGTGGTAGTCCAGTGACGTAACCATTCTGCCAAACGCTGGTCCCACATTTGGGATTTTTTGAGCACCTGCTATATGCCAGGCACTGGACTGGGCATAGGGTACACAGCAGTGACCCCGACCCTGCCTGGCCGGGCTGTGGGAGACTTGTGAGGCATGGCGAGTGGTTAAGAACGTGGACTCTGGGGAGCCTGAGGGCCCGGGCAGCTGCTGGCCGCCCCCCCTTCTGTGCCCGTGACTTGGGGGGGGCTGCTTTCCCTCTCGGAGTCTTCTCTTGCCGGTGGAGCAGTGAGGGCAGCCACCTCCTCGGCTGTGGTGGGGACATGCGAGAGGATGCGGGCGTGTTTAGCCCGGAGCCTGTGTACGGAGGCGTGCAGCCGTGCTCAAAGTGGGGGCAAGGGACGGTAAGCGGACGGAAGCAGGACGTGGAGGAGACCCTGTCGATGGTGGGACACGAAGGAGCCACTTCTCACGGGGCCTACAGTGGGTTCGCTGCGTTTCTGCCCGTCTCCTTCCACGCCCAGCCTGGGCTGCGATGGGGCCCGAGGCCTGCAGTTGTGTGGGAGATGGAAGTCGCCTTTGTCAATTCAGAAACCCAGCGCTGAGCTTTGGGGTGGGGGGGGGCAGAGACACCCCCGGCCCACAGAGCTCCCTGCACCCCATCCCCAACGTCATTGCAGCCTGGGTGGCTGGGGCGAGCTGGGGCCTGCCCGGCGGGTCCCCAGTAATGACACTCATCACACAGGTGTCTGTGTGCAGGGGGAGGCGAGGGCCCCAGGGGCCGCGTTCACATGGCACCCCGCCAGCCCACCCCGGGCCCTTCCTCATCCTTTACGAGTCTGGTGCCCGAGGGAAAGTTGAGAAGTTTGGGTGCCAAGGACCGCTGTGCAGACGGGGCGGGCAGGCGGGCGCTGGGGTGGGTTGTGCTCACGCGCGCATGCATGTGTGCGCAGGTGTGCATGGGGTGCAGGGAGTGTGCACATAGGTCTGTCCCGCCCCTGGCCGGCTGCGTGCCGGTGAGAGGGTCCCTGTCACTGGAGCAATGACAGGCCTGGAGTGGGCTCAGTCTCACTGACCTTTCACCTCTCGGTGGGTGGCAGCTGTGCCCGGCCTGGACCTGCTGACATCAGACCCAGTGCTGGCCAGTCCCTGTACCCGCTGTCTCAGAGCGCAAAGCCAGGGCGGGATGGATGTTAGCGAGGGGAACAGGATGTCCCGCTGAAGGCTTTGATGGTGCACGGTAAGGCTGGGTGACAGCAACGTGGGGGTCGTGGAGGGCCTCGCTGAGCAGATGACCTGGCCGCAGGGACAGCTGGAGGAAGAGTCAGAGCAGGATGACTAGCGAGTGCAAAGGCCCTGAGGCAGGACCAGGAGCATGACGGGGCCGGCAGAGCTGGGAGCCATGGGAGCGGGGAGGAGGCAAGCACAGGGCCAGACCGCAGGGCTCCCGGGTCAGGAGGTAGACTTCCTCTGAGGACAATGGGAGCTTGGCATCTGGGGCGCACGGAGGGGGGCTCTGCCGGGGTGAATGGGTTTGAAGTTAGTGGGAACCATTAGCTTTCAGGGCTGCAGACGGGAGCGTGGGCTGCTCAATTTGTGTTTGAACTTCTCCTCCTGGGTTCAAACCCCCTGGATCCTGGAGCCTGTTATTAAGCCGGCTGCACCCCAGGGCACCCGCCTTTATCCCCAGACAGGGCCTGGCCCGCCTGCCCCGAGGTCGACCCTGGCCCCCCAGACAGGAGTGGATGGGGGGGGCCCCCCTTGCCGGGCCAGGTCTGCTCCCCGAGAGCTGAAAGGAGACTGCAGAGCAGCTGAGCTCTCCCCTTTTCACAGTGAGGAAATCGAAGCCCAGAGGGAGCATGGGCAGGGCCTGGGCCTCGGGACAGGGAGCGGGAGGCAGCCCCAGGGTCTCTGCCATCACTCCAACTCTTCCTGCTTTTCCCTGTCTGCAGCTGGCTCCCCCCAGCGCGGCTCGGGCCGGGGGAGTGTGTGTGACTCACCGGGGCC